CTTCCGATCTATATATCCATCAGATGTTCCACGTGTGCATAATGTATGTGTGACACATCCATTACCATTAAGCTGACTTTAACAGTTCTTAAAACACTACACCTTATGAACCTGCAATTGCCTATTCTTTTAACTTCAAGTCTCTAAACGTAACATGGAAACCAGATAACTTTTCTTCACAAGTTTTTTGAGGCCAAAAATTTAGTGTGTAAGTGACAGGAGCAAAACCAGTTCGAATAACAAGATTCATTATTAAGAACACTGTTTCAAAGGCGTAACTAAGACATTTGTAAGATACATATCCACCACTGTTAGTTTACATGCATAAATTTTATTAAAAGTCTTTTAACTTAATTAAATATTTACTGTGGCCTGGCATTAGTTGTAGGAATTATGTTTTTACGTTACTGAGCATAACGTCATCATATAACATAAGAGTCCGCAGTGCAATCAAGTATAAAGGTCTGTGAAGACGAGGATTGTTATTTCCCTTGTGAAGGATTAGTCAGTGCTACCCTCGAACACTTTTGAAGGAACCTAATGTAACTATGTAAACAATTAAAGTATAGAGAAGCACTGTAGGGGATATGATAAATGCCCGTATTACTAGTTTCTGTTACGTTTCGTATCGTTAAGCTGCTAAATTACATATGATATGGAAACCAGAAGATACCTATGATTGTCATCAACCAGTACAATAGGGACCTGCGTATATAATATCATGTAAGTCTCTCCCACAATTATCAAGTGTCTGTAATGTCGGGCTTTTAGCCAAGGACTAATTTTTAAGGTATTTTGGTCCAAGCTGAGAGTAATAAAGTACAGTAATTGTGAAGGTTAATCTTCAATTGTTACACCACGCAAATTTACAATACCTAGGAGTTATAATCTTTCTTAAATATTAGAACTGTGAGAGTCACAATTGTTCAATGGCCTGCATATTTTAAATTTTATTATATTTTAAAAAAGGTGCCATCGATGTACAAAACTATACGAACCTGTGCATGAGAAAGGTAAAGTGGATACTTGAAGTCAATCCAAGTAACAACTTCAGAGCAAGGTGGAGTTGTTAGGGAACCATTGTATGTAAAATAATTTTGCATCCAGTCATCTGGTGATCCAATTGGATCTAGAAGATCTCCCAATTTCATACCGTCTGGAAGCTTAGTTTCCGTACCAACTTTTTCGATTTCTGGTAAAGCTTTTACTACAGTAGCAAACATCGGGTTGGATTCGTCTTGTGAATCAGCCTGCAAACAAATAAAATTTATTTTCAATTAAGTATCATTTATATCATCGAAAATTTTACTATTTACTAGTCCAGAGAAAACGAAACATTTAATTTTTGCATTTTTCTGAAATAAAAAATCAATAAAAACAGTAATATAAGAAAAAAATTTTATTTAAACAAGAAAGATTATATCTAAGTTAACTTAGCACTGTATGTGATTACTAAGACCTATGCTTCAATTCATTCAGTTGATTAGGATTACATCGCTGCATATGAGTTATCACCACCTCTTAAATTTAGTTAAACGTAATGNAGCGCAAATGAAAAAAAAGGTTTGTTCATGGTCGGAAGAAGATACAGCGAAATTCCAGCAGGCGGCAGAAGATTTGTGCGAAGAATGCATAGTAACGGAGAAGGATTCCGTACAGAAAATTTGGAATGGAATCAAGAGTATAGTAGACAGATCTGTTACAAAAAAGGAGATCAAGTACAAGGTATGGAGGTTAGGCGAATTGAAGTGGTGGGATAGTGCATGTAGGAAGAGGAAAAGAAAAGTGAAGAGGGCGTATTATAAATGGAGAAAAAGTTTGGTAGGAAAAGTAGTATATTTGAAAGAGAGAAGGGAATGAAAGAAGATGTGTGAAGATAAGGCAGCTAACCTTAAGGAGATGGAAGCAGCACAACTTAGGATCATCAAGCACGAAAAAGATGTGTGGAAGTTCTTAGGCGCTGGTAAAAAGAAAAATCTTGTTGAGAATGACATTTCAATGGATGCATGGAAGGAATATTTTAGAGTTCTCATTGAGGTTAGCTGTGAGAGAATGGTGGGAGCAAGAAGGAAATCGGAGGCAGAGGATACTGAAAGTCTAATGGAGGAGGAGGTAATAATGGCGATTAATTCGTTAAAAAAAAGGAAGGCAGCTGGTTGCGATGATATTTCGAATGAAGTCTGGAAACACGGTGGACCAAAATTATCCAAAAGATTGATGTTTATGTTAAAGAAGATATGGGCGGGAGAAGGTTTGCCCGAAGATTGGAAGTTGGCGGTAGTGGTCCCGCTTTACAAGAAAGGTGACGTCAACGAGGAAAAAAATTATAGGGGGATCTCCTTGCTGCCGACCTCATATAAGGTGTACACAGAAGTATTGAGGTGTAGACTGCTGAGGGAGGTGGAGGCGAAAGGAATTCTCCCGGAAGGGCAGGCCGGATTTCGTAAGGGGAGGTCTACTATGGATAACATTTATATCCTGAATCATGTGGTTCAAACGGCAAGGTCTAAGAAAGAAAAAGTTTTTGCAAGCTTCGTGGATCTAACTGCGGCTTTTGATACGGTTAATAGAGAGAGGCTATGGGAGGTGATGAAGGAGGAAGGCATAAGCAAAGGTTTAATTGAAAGAGTGAAAGAACTATATGAAGAAACGATGGTTACGGTAAAAGTGAACAATACGTACTCCGACAAATTTTGGAGTACGAAAGGTGTGAGGCAGGGGTGCGTGCTGAGCCCGATCCTGTTTTGCATTTATATAGCTGCTTTAGAAAAAGAATATAAAAATAGGAATGTAGGTGGGGTAGTTATTGGAGGAATAAGGGTATGGTCGTTAGCTTATGCGGACGATCTAGTCCTACTAGCATTAAACAGGGAGGCAATGTTAGATATGTTGGGGGTATTAAAGAGGTTTTTGGAAGGCAGAGATCTGATTCTAAGCGTAGTAAAGACAAAAATTCTAGTGTTTAATAAGGGCAGGAACAGTGGGAAAGAAAAATGGCTGTACAAGGGAGAGGAGATGGAGGAGGTTAAATCCGTTAAATATTTAGGTTTTATCTTTAATAGGGAAGCGAATTTTAAAGATCATATAGAGGAGCTTAAAAAAAAGGGGATTATTGCGGCGAAAAGAGTGTGGGGGCTGGGGGAAAGAAGGTGTAAAAATGATTTCAGGAGAAGGAAGATGTTGTTTAATTATTTGGTTAGAAGTGTTATGTCATATGGGGCGGAGATCTGGGGTTTTGAGGAAAAAAAGGAATTGGAGAAAATACAGCTGGATTATTTTAGATGGGTATTGAGGCTGGATTTTTGTACACCGAGATACATAGTCTATAGGGAAACCGGCATAGATAAACTATGTGATGCGTGGCGGGTGAGAGCGTTAAAATTTGAACGGAAAATACAAAGTCTAGA